CCCCAAAACCCCAAAACCCCAAAACCCCAAAACCCCATTCTACAGGTCGAAACTTGAAAAATGATTATTGAAGAGGGCGAGTTGGCTTATTACTGGTTTGAGTGGAGGCATTTTGACTAAAAAGGAGGAACAGGAGGTTTTAGGGGTCGTTAGTGGGGGTTGCTTGAGTGGTGTTTTGGGAAATGGATTGGAGATGGGGTTTTGGTGAAGGAAGGATGGGGTTAAATAGGAAGGGAGGTGGAAGAGGGATTGGGTGTTTTGATCATGGTGGTGAAAGTGGGTTAAGGTTTGAGAGGGGTAAAATTTAGGTATGAAGTAATTGAGCTTCGATTCTGGGATAAAATTTTTATGTTAGAGATGGTTTTAAAATATTTAGAAATTAAGATAGAGTCTGATCGATGAATCCTGTTATTTGTATCCATAGAGAAGATAATGATATCCTCCTATGCTAAAAATTCATTAGAGCTAAATATGATATTAGCAGAAAGAGCTCATCAACCTTCAGCTGATGAATAAATTTATTTACTCTCTTTTATTTAATTTTTAATATCTCTAAAAATGGGTATTTAAAATAACTTTCAAATATGGGAGCAGTAAAGCTTTCTTCTAAGCAAGAATTCCCGCAAAGAGGCTTCATAATCTTTCTAATAAAATTTTTGATAAAATTCTCAAGATAAAACTAAAACTTATAAATAGAGTCTTAGATTTCTATCAAAAGTATACAAATGACAACCGAATTTTGCTCAAGTGAACTCAAGTCTACGCAACAAGATAGTGACAAATACCTTGGTATCCCTCTAAGCCACGTTAGAGAATATGAATGAAGTGCAAAATTTCTCTAACCCAAAAAATATTATCATATACAAAACTAGTAGTCATAATTCAGAATCGAGATGCCTTCTTAATTATTTTTGAATTTTTCAAATTCACTAGAAGATCTAGGAACTTTCTAAATTACTAAGAAGGCTGTCTACCAATTAAGCAAATTATAGCTAGAAGGATACCTCTGGCCTTATCCTTCCAGTTTCATTTATTTTTGAATGCATTAATGACCGCGGACATTCTAGAGTATGTTTTTGTAGCTTCTTGTGACCCAGATATATGATTATATCTCAAAAATAGTAAGAATATTTTAAGTTTAACTCATAGATAGTAATTATGTTCTCATATTATTTCAATGATGGCTCAAGATCTCTTACAGCCTTACTTTCCGAGCCAGGAGACTTTCTTTTATCCTCACGAGATTCTTCAAATGCTAGTTTGAAAATTTTCTTATTGGAGTTTTCTTTGTTCCTAATCTCAGCAGCGATTTTTAAGAGATCACTGATCTCCTGTTTCAAAGAGCTTGCTTTCTCTCATTTATCTGAAACTTTAAACAATCCACGAGGCTTGCAAATTTCGTTATTCTTAATTTCTTCATGATTTGAGTCTCTCTTTGGCTTTTCGCCTTGAAACCCACAATCTAATATTTTATTCTCTTTTAAATAACAAGAAGTTTCTTTCGGGTTAAAATTGAACTTCTTCCCATCTTTCTGCTTCTTCATGCTCAAAGACTTAGAACTCATATTCTCCAATATCTTGGACGAACTTGGAATCTTTCAGGATGAAACTTCTTCACTTAAAAACTCATCAGAGATGTTCTCTTCACGATTGATTTTAGGTATAAAGTCCATTTCTCACTATATAATATTATTAAACCCAAATTTTCCTATAACCTTCCTCCCTCACGGGGTTTTGGGGTTTTGGGGTTTTGGGG